AAAATTGAGAGAGGATGTTTTAAATGCATTGGAAAAATCGTAAAAATTGACTAAATGTCAGTTTGTCAAAATTTGCAGTCAAGTTCATATGTCATTTTTACATATAGATAGCCTTTAATGAGTCAATAATTATAAAAGTATAACTACATAGGCATTTTTAAAAATTAAACTCATTAAGAATCAGTAAACGGAAGTGTTTTTTAGTGACCGTATAATTCAATTGTTGAAGGTACACACAGAGCAATCGCCATCATTTGTTAAATCAACAAATCATAATACTCTGCAAACCGCTCACTGTACGTGAGCTTTTTTACAGTGTTTTAAACCAGACAAACACAATAGAGCTATTACTTTGAAAGTAATTTTCATGCAAGTTTCACCAGTGTGTAGTGCATTTGATTTTGCATGACAAGTGCAACATAGTCAACAATTTATACAGAGTTTGCATGTCATGCGCTGATATGTATATTACACTGGATAATGAATCCATGTATAAAATATTGTAAGATATTTGAATCCGGAAACTGGCTCATCTGATTCTGAGCTACGAAGGGGGGGAGCTGGCATCGGTCCCACTATACTATACTTTTGTTTTACAAAATCACAGTTTTGCGTTTTTATTCGTCCTACAAACTTTTGATTCGAGCAAAATTTTTGTGAAAGGGACAGAACAACCGGCAAAGATATTTAGTCCTAAAAATTTTGTCTTCTTGGCTTTATAATTGCAGAAAACTGAGATGGTACAAGGTCGACTTGCATTGTTTTGAAACCAACTGGAGATTATATGATGCTGCTAATTCTTAAGAAATGTAAAAATATTACAGAATCCCACAACTGCTACCAAAGTTCCATCTGCAATGACGTTTATGGAAGATTGCGACAAATTTACTTATTTAACAACACTTCGTTATTCACATCGCAAATATCATAATAATTTCAAATTACGTCTTTATTATATCAGTGAAGAAACAAATCAAATCGACATAGAAAAATAATCAGAAAGACAATTTGATGAACAATAGTAAGTTGAAAACGGTATCATTAAACTCTACGAGATGTACATCATCAAAATATGCGAATTAAAGTACCTCTGTTGTCATTATGCGAAGCAAAGTTTTCAACCAGTTCCTATGTGAACAACTTCAATATCGATGAATATGTTAAAGATATGAATACCTTTGCTCTTACTTTGTTGTAAATTTGCAATTTAAGTATTCATCTTCTAAAAATGCCACGCATGGATGAAATTATCCTCGTCACCTTCAACTTTCAAATTTCATTACAACTTGCAATCTTATTTTTCAGTCGTTACAAAGCCAAAAAAACTGAGCTTCAGGGTTACAACTCTCTTACAATTTCAAGATAAATTAAACTTACAATATTGGAATAAATTACGTGAAAAAGTTATGAGCAAAAATCTCAGCAAAAATTAGCCAATCTCATCATATACGACAGCATAAAAAGTGCATTTATTCGATTTTTTTTCGGTTGAGGGTATCGACAAGTTTTCAAGATTTTGCCTGAAGAACAGGCAGAAATAACCGGCTCTATATCCTACAATTTGATTACACTCTTAATTGCTCTCCATGTAAAGCAAAAAAGTTAATTATCTACCTGGTTTTTCGAAATCTTGTATTATTACGTGAGGGAAGGTGTGCGAGCAATGTAAAAAAGCCAGCAGAAGCACGACGTATCTTAAGCATATCATTTTGTTGTTGCTAAAAAAAGAGAGATGAATAATAGAGATTTAAGATCATAATCTAGCATTTTAAGTTGTTAAAGTGGGTGGTACACGACTAATGATACATAGGAAATCTGAACACTGATCAAGTAACATAACTTCACTTTTGTTTTAACATCAAGCACCTTTCTTATAACGCTCCTCGTTTTAAATTATTTAATTTTATCAAGCTCACAGCTATCAGGTCATAGTTAACCCTGCTGTTTCATGCAATAAACTGCAGTCCATCATATAATATTTTAATCTTTTTTACCGAAGACCACAATAAGAAATTTTTCACTTGGATAAAATCAACTTTGCTACTATAGCTAATTAATTTGCAGATTACGCGTTAATGGAAAATTTTTTTCCTGATATAAGTCCATTAATCATGAATCTCTATTTATTGTGCTGTAACGAGACAGATGTAATTATGCCGGTAATTCTTTGCACGATTTGAACTATGTATGCAACATGGAAAGGAATCACAAATACTAATTCTTAAGAGTCCAAAATTTTTTATGCCTGTGGATAAATATTGACAATTTTTTATTTAATTTGTTACTACAAACAAATTCAACCACAAAAAGACGCACAAAAGATGGAAATATGATGTCTAGCTGTTATTGCTCAATTTTTACATTCGCATGACGATCCAAAAAATAATAAAATAAGTGAATAACAAAACATGAACTTTACACGCGCGAGAAAAATTTTTATAAGAAAAAATTACAGCATATTAGCATTGTATTAACTTTGAACTAATATCAATACATATTAAACAGATACTTACCTCGCTCAATTTACTTGTTCAATATAGATTCAAATATGATGATTCGGCGAAAATAAATTGCTTGTGACAAGATTTATTGGTAATATAGCTATATTTAAAATAAAATAATAAAATGCGTGAGCTGATTGGTCTATAGATATGCGTGCATCAGCCTGTGCAAACTTATCACTGAGCAAAGTCAATAAAATCTGACAAAATGAATTTTGCAAATCAATCATCAAAACATTTTAGATGAGAAATTGAATTGTTTGTTTTCCCTTATTATAAATTGATAAAAGAAATAAAAGATGTTTTTCGTCTTCGCACATGCTTATGCAAAGCTCGGAGAAGTTTGTGAGCGCTCTCGAAAGCGGGGAAGTGAACATCTTTTATTTCTTAAATGTCAAATTTTCCTCATGACAGGCTTTGTGTTGGGAAAAGAAAGTCTTGTGACAGAACCATTCTATAAAGGTCACATTGATTTTCACCTGCAGTTGAATTCTTAATCCTGTTCATATTTTGTAATCTTAAGGTTGGTTCTTCGGAATTTGTTTTTTACTATATTTTTTTAAATTCTCGGCTAGACTTGGTTTTTGGTGTAAATATAGACTCCTCGAAGTATTTTCTTTTTACTACCTTTTCAAAAAAAAAAACACATTCCATTTCTAGTTCAAAGACAATGGACACTTTGCTAAAGTTTGGTATTTGTTAACCGATACCATAGGCCTTTAACAAGTGCATGCTACTTGCTAGCCATAAACGCGTTTTATATCGGAAATAATATTGTATTGCTGCATAAATATATTTAAGTGCTTGATCTGTAGCTCAAGTGCTAATTTCTATTGTTGAAAAACTGCTCAATTTGACGTTAGTCGCATCACTAGGCCTGGGGGAGGCAAAGTTGGGGGCCAGGAGAGCAGGATGAAGGGAGGCAAAGTACAAAGTAACTAACTGAGGTAAATCATATGATATGAAAGTAATTGACATTTTTCTTCGGGGTGATAAAAATTTATAATGATCAGTCAATTGCGAAACATATATATGAATAAGAGCAATTGTTATATAATTAATAATTAATGCTTGCGGTCAGTGGCGGATATAGGATTAGTCAAAATAAATTACTGCTGCATATTTTGGAATATATTTACATTTCTAAACCCCTCAGAGACAAGTCTATTGGTGAAATTTTATTCTTTAGAAATTCAAAACCAATAGTGCTTTTCTCAAAGTACTTTGAATTTAAAATTAAGCAGCTCTAATTTGTTTTGCTCACTGCGGCTCGCTGTGACTGACTACCCTGAGATCCGCTACTGGATGAGATTAAGCATGATATCAAAAAGTTTTCAGACTGAGATCAATGTTATTTGCCTTGCCATAGCGAAGCTGTGACGGATGACGCTGACAGAGGTCTGAGCCCTCTATGAACACCAAAATATCAACTAATTTCTTTGAGAAAATGGCCATATCTCCAAAGTCCCATCTGGGCGAATTAATTTGTTATCGTGGCAGGTTAATTTGTTATCGTGGTATGGTGGCCTTTACAACAGAGATGACAAGATGAATACTTGCATGTCTAAAAAAATACTATAAATTGGCACGAGGAAAGTCCAAACAAAGTTATTGCGACCACCAATCTCATTATGTACATGCACTATATATTTTCTATGCTAAAACCTCTTTGTTAAAAAAGTTATAAGTTCATTAGTTGACAATTTTAACGTCAATGACGGCTTGTAACAATTTTGTTCAGTGCAGTGTTGCCAGATGAAATTTTAAAATATTCTTGCGTCAAAAGTTCACAAAAATGGCAAAAAGTTTATATTACATCTAATTTTTAAGATCGGAAGTTAACGGATTAACTGGGAAATTTTCGGAAAACCTCGGATATTTTCGAAAACTGTCGGAAGTATTCGGAAAACATCGGATTATCTTAAAATCGTCGTTGTTTTGTAAGACCTATCGAGCTAGGAAGATTTTCTTTTCATTGAACTATGATTTATCTATACATTCTTTATGAAAATGATGAAAATACAAAAATGCATAATATTTAGGAAAGTTCACAAAAAGTTCACAAACTTTTAATGTTCATGAAATGTTCATGAAGAGAGCACAAAGTTCACAAATCTGTGAACTTTGTTCACGATCTGGCAACACTGGTTGAGTGCTACACTTCACCAGAGCTTCGTTATTACATACTTAACATGCGAAATTTGCAAACCGATTTTGAAGCAGTCTTGCGATGGGATGCTCGTGCGAGCCGAGATTTTTTAGAAAATGCTTGTCTTTTGTATTTGCGATATTTGAAACTTTTTATGTAAAATATCCTAACTGCCAGAACTGCCAAAGCAATAATTAGGGAGAATATTTTGCTAAAGGATCATGGGGTCACACGTGTGCTCGTCAAATTTTACGAAACCATGATTGGTCAAAAACGAAAATTATAAACAAACACAAATAGATTTCTGATTGGTTTAATCATAACTCGCCAAACTGGAACGAAACAGCATTTGTGGGACATATTTTGTCAATTGTCACATGCTTATCGTATTATAAATTGCTTATCGATATTGTTTTCGTGAAATATTTCATAATTTTTTCAGGTTATTGATATCGGACTCAGGTATGTAATTATATTTCTATTCTATGTCATCCTAAAACCTACTTATGTATCTCTTTTGCGATTGGCGATAAAAATTAAGCCTGAACAAATGATCATAACATTAGCAGAGAAATTCCCGAGAAATTGCCTTGGAAACAGTCTGTGTTGGCTATGTTGGAAGATAAATCTTTCTACCCTTTCTTGAATCCCTCAGTTTTGACATTTTTGTATTTATATGTAACGAATTTAACGAGGAAGTTTGAAGTATCAAATTGTGCTTTCGGTTTGGTTAAACTAGTAATATGCGACAAAAAAGTGAAGGAAATGCTTTCCATGCAATGCTACGTCATTGTGTTTGAAACCTTTTGCGCGTAAACATAAACGATTTTCACAGCGAAATATGTAGAATGTAGTATTTATCTGTGTAGTCGTGTCTACAAATGATTTCTAAGCATTTATTATCGACATTCAATATTAAATGAAGATATGATCATTATTTCATAAGACATTGAATATGTTAGCGGATGTCGATTTGTATGCTTGAAGTATAGATTATTTCTCTTTTAGGTTAGCTGAACATGTAAAATGAGTGTTTTATATCTCTAAATTTTAATTAATAAGGACATTTACCGAGGTGAAAACGCTAAGTTCTTTAAAATACCAATAAACAAAAGCTTTGATGGTATAGACATCAACAATTGGACTTGAATTTGAATTACAACCGTGAAATTGGCACCATATTGGGAACACAATAGTTTTTTATTTACAGGCCTTTGTTTAGCAATGACTTGAAATTCTCAACTTAATTATATAAGATCATATTACGCGCATTCGTGTCATCTAACTATGTCGATGATTTTCTACAACTTATATTTTTGTGCACTCTCCAGATTTTCGATATATTTTAGACAATATAATTATCTATATTCTGGCCAAGTTTAAAAAATTCTACGGTGTAGTTTTTTATTTACAGACCTTTGTTTAGCAATGACTTGAAATTCTCAACTTAATTATATAAGATCATATTACGCGCATTCGTGTCATCTAACTATGTCGATGATTTTCTACACCTTATTTTTTGTGCACTCTCCAGATTTTCGATATATTTTAGACAATATAATTATCTATATTCTGGCCAAGTTTAAAAAAATTCTACCGTGTAGTTTTTAAATTATAGGCTAATTAAGAGAAATGGAAAGTACACTGTAATATAAATCTTAGTGTTTTCTTCAATTTCTTGACTTTCATATATTTTTTTGTGATGGTTATGAACAGTAAAATAGTAATAAACAGTTAAGAATTGTTTTTTACTGTTGTATTTGATGGAAAACGTGTTTTAAAGACAATTTTTCGATTTATCATTTTGAATGATAAATTTAGTTGAATGTGTTGATGATTGTTGTGATGATTGTTGTGTTGATTGTGGTGCCCAATGTCTTGCCAATTTCACGGTAGTATTTGAATTTATATTTGTATTCATTAAACGTGAACTTTTTTGTAACAGATATGGTTAAATTACAAAGGTTCTAACTAATAAAAAACCATATAACTAATACTATAAGGACATATTTTTATATAAACAATAATACATAGCTATTGCTTAATTCATACTACCAATAAAATAATTTAAACTGGTATCTACTTACTTACTTCAATTCATACTTAGTGTTAAAAAGGCATTTTTAAAATGTTCAGTCTTAAAGCAAGAATGTTTGTAAGATCCACAACTTCTCAGATCACCATGAAGAGGTATTCTCTTTGATGAAAGAAAGATCATGGACAGCATGTAGACTTGCCTTATTTATTATGGCTAGCTTTTCAATTTGCTATCTCTGGTTTTAATGTGCGTAAAACGAAGACTACATTTGTATATATTTAGAACAAGTATCATCATGAATAAATATTGATTTTTAAAGCAAAAACTGTTTGCCTCTTTTAAGTGACGAGCTGCCAAACATCACTGAATCATTATTCTGCTATATGGCCCCTGCAATGAGAGACAAAATTTAAATCTGTAATCATTAAACGATACAAGCCATCACTTTAGAAACAATTTGAAATATATATGCAAAGAAGATTATGATTGATACATTATGCAACATAAAGGTATTAGAGTAAGAAGTTTTGCCAGTATTTTGGTTTTGTGGTTGACAAAATATTACATATTCATGAGTTTGGGAAAATTTAGCAATGTTATTTGGGTGAATTTAGCTTTCATACTTCCAGTTAATTATATATTACTTGCAACAATATCCTTCTGTTTTTTTATTTTATAAAACTACAACTAAATGGTTTTCATTTATTTAGATGGCCTGATTGACCAATTAGGAATGTTGCTCATCATAACAAAAGCATAAAAATCACCTGGTTCAATTTTGAAACATTCATACTCCCCCATGTTTGGATAAGGCCATACAAATACTGAAATGGTTTAACCACTTGTGCAAAGTGTACGCCTTAGTTCGCATCTTGTTCTATGAATCTTGTCTTACTGGCACTTTTTAAAATATAAATTGTAGAAATGCTGTCATGTGAAGCTCCTGATGCTGAATGCATCACATCTTTAGCTTGTGTTAGAGAGACAAAAGAAGGTATTTCTTATGTTATATTTTATACGTCTACATGTATATAGCAAAAAGATAGGATAAAATCCGAAATACGTCCGAAATTTAAGTTGAATAAAGAAATTGCAATGGAGATTGCCCCATTTCGCTTTATTACAAATCATAATCAGACAGAATGACAGGTAAAATCAGGCTGTTCGATTAAGATATGTACAAACGGAGCTGTAAGTGTTAATTTTTGATTGATTATTTGCAAATTACGAGAAAATTAGCGCTGTTTTAATTGAAACAACGAGTTGAAAAGAAGAGTGCGGATACATTGCCTGGCCTACAGGTTTCAGAAAGTAGGTTTTTTTGTGAATAAAATAAAAAATTGTGTAATCATGTTGTGCTAAATGCATGAACAAAGAGCTTTGTTTTGCTTTGTTTTAAAAAGGAAATCATCACAGGTGTATAAATTGTGTTTTGATGACAAATTTGTCTTTCAGATGTTCCTGAAATGTCGAGTGAGAATGATATGTCCAAAATATATTCTGATGATGAACTTTCTGATGAAGATGATTTTGATCCCAAATTTACCAGAGGATTTCTTGACGACTTTTACCGTATTCGCAAAGACGTCACTGAAAAATTAAAACAGTAAGTAAAAATCCACTTGAGACTTGTAAATAATTTTTAAAAATGCTTGCAAAGGTTTCTTCTCCATGCATAAGATACATTCAATTATAAGTTGTATTTACATTTAAAAAGTCGTGAAGTATAGCTACGTAATTAGGCACGACAAACGTTTTCTGTAAAATATGGAATGAATTCAACCATTTCTCGCACTTATGATTCAAAGCAATGACTGACGCGTGTTTAATTGTTCTGAAAAACGTTTTTTTGTTAAGTTTTTTGCTTTTAAAAACATGCGAATATGAAATTTCAATTGTGATACAACGCTATATTTTAGTGAAAATCACACAGTTTACCAAAAATAAATGTCTTTTCTTTCTTGATGTATGTTGTAAATAAGGAATTATTGTTTTGTAGATTTTCTTGGATAAATGGATATTGCGGGATAACATTCAACCCAGAACCACGTTTGTATGTGACTGTAATAAAGGAAAGAAAAAATGATGAAGATTCTTTGAAGAATGAGATCAACGACAAATTTGGTTGGAAAGCGTCTGATTATATTGATTTTCGTTATGCCGATAGCTCATTACCGACGTTTCGATATTTGTCAAATCAAGGTAAAACAAAGTAAATGTCATAATCCTATGAATGTAGGTTATGAAAATTACTTTGGTACAGTGACAATGGTTTGCAGAAAGAATCGTTAAGAATCTACAGTACCGACCTCGAGTAACATGACTTGACTCGCGAGTATCGAATGGCGAGTGGGCGAGTCAATTGCGAGTCACTCGAGAGTGACGAGTTGTGATTGAGCGAGTGTGAGAGTTTGCAAGTGAATAAGTGACTCGCTGTTTGCGATTGAATAAAATAACTCGGAAAAATTTCTTTCTCCAGGTTCTTAAGTGTAGTGACAAGTAAAATTCGTTCAACATTTTGAAGGCAACGGTTTTATATCTTTTTATGAAACATGGGAGCAAAACGACTATTCATTTGAAGCAATATCTCGGGACCTAATGACAAAGGCCATAAACATTTAATAGCAAGAATGATATAAAACCACGTGTATAGGAAAACCATGTGTATAGGAAGGCCTTTATATCAATAGCGACTACATCCAAAACTCCAGGTGAACGAAGTTCTTTCAGAATCGAATTCAAAAGATTATACGTACACTTGTCGCATCATAGCTACATTTCTTAAAAATTTGGCTTTAAAGAATATTCGTTTTTTAATGCATTCTTTCCTAAGATTATATATGTCCATAATCTAAGACTTTTAGAAGAAAATAATTGAGCGCTATTTAGATTTACTCATTGATTGCGTGCCGTTTACTTTACATTTCTCTATGGTCTCTACCGCTTTACGAATAACGTTTCTGGCTTTGTGCCATGAAAAATGTAAAGTTATTAAAATACTTTTGTAAAAAAATTCAAAAGATTTTAACGTCATTAGGTCCCACTCGCCAATACTCGCGAGTCAAGTCATGTTACTCGAGGTCGGTACTGAATGTACATATGCTTTACGAGAGTTTAAATCTTAATGGGACTGAACCAAGCCTGTTCACGATATTATTTATATTCTAGATAACATACCTGCGTTTTACTCGTTGAACTATGATACATGAAACACTAGCTGTAGTAGATAATCCTAATAACCAAACGAAGTTAAATTTTACATCCAAACACGCGAGATTTTATCCCAGACGAGCGTCTTTACTGTTTAACAATTCTGTCTCGGCGAGTGAATTGTTTTAACTGCTGCTTTTTTGTAGAGAAAATTACAAAGCAACAGGTGTTGATTCAAAAAAGTATGAAAAACAAAAACTATACCCCCGTGTTTCGGGGGTATAGTTTTTATTAAAATGCAAAACTACAACAGCATTTATATGTTTGATGTGTTTTTCTTGTTATACTGTCAGCCAAACAAATGTTCAATGTCTTCGTAAAAAATCTTTTACATACAATTTTGCTTGTTTTTTTTAGCGAGCATGTTTAATCGTTTACGTGTTTTTCTTTATTAGTTGTGAGCGTTCTTCCTTGAGTGAACAAATTTTTATCGTTAGCAGTATTTCACACATTGTTAACGACAAATATTTCTTGCTGTTGGCAGCGTTGCATGTATTTTAGTTCAACGGTATTACTAAGATAAAATTGTATTATTTGTAAATTGCATATTTTAAAAAGAGATAACCAAAGTACAATTATACAAACGAACTTATATTAATTTTAATTTGGCATCATATAGTAACTACCAGGTAGAACCCAGGAAATGATAAAAAAAGTAGCTTTATGTAAAAAGAGACATGAAGTGATATGTAGCGAACCGAAGAAGATACGTGTTTTTTTTAGTAGGGTCAAAAAATCAAATTTGGCCAATGGATCTCAGGCCTTTTATTATGTTAAACCATTGAGACAGTATACTAAATATACAGTACAACCTTTCTATTGAATTTTTTCGTGTCGCGCATATATTATTACGCATGTGATTACTATAATGACACAATAGGAATTATGAAATGACTAACGACAGCCATTAATCTAATTAAATAAACAGACAGTTGCACAGCGAACTGGACCTACTGTATATTTCCTGTACTGTGCCAGTGAACCAAAAAATTGAAAGTTTACGTCTGTGGAAATTTTCATGCCACTAGAGCCCAGTCTTCACACGCAATGCAAGCATGATGGAAACGAAAATTCTTAAAAATGATGTTTGAATAACATAAACTTTAATTTTCTTGTCATAACTAAAACACAAAATTTATAAAAATTAATATGAGATTGAACTTCTTACATATTTGACAATCAAACGCATATTCGAAGTCCATACATTACAATGGCTCTGTAGGAGTTATGATGTTTTTTCAATACTATCGAAAAGCTTAATGTAAAGATTTTTTGTACCAGTTTGAACAATCCATCAACGCCAATACTTGATCATTTATCACATAATTCAGTTGAAGATTTGCAAAATAATTTTACCTCATTTTCCTCAAATTATTTACTGCTTGAGCACTGACAAAAACTTGGAGAGAAACCAACTTTGACAGATTGACGTATGTTGTGAACTGGAATAGTTCATTCACTTCACCAGAGGGAGATATACTAAAGGTAATGGAAAAAAAAGATATTATGTAAGATATTTTATAACTATGCACTAAAGAAGGCCTTTACAATATAACGGATTCGCTCATCACGACATCTTCATTTGCTTTGAAGGGGAAACTTTTCGGAGTAAAAACTTATTAAGTTGATAGATTAAGTCTATTTGATTGTGTTTCTAACGTTGAACAATTTCACTGCCTTTTCTTGCAACAAAAATCCTTTACTATAATGGTCTTTACTTATTATTTCTAACGGAACACTGTGTCAGTGTGGTGTTACTTATCAAGAGAACTATTCCCGAAGCAAAGTTTCCATACGTATCCACTTACAACTGTCATTCAATGTGTTATCTAGCACAGCAACTTAGAAACCGAACCATTTTTTCATTCCGCATCTATCTTTGAATCCATGATTGCTTACTTAAAGCAAATCAGCACCCTCCTGCGTCTCTTTCAGCATTTGCTAGGAGAGGTATGCACCCCCTGTCCCACACCCCCCCGAGCAATTCATTCTTACTTTATCTCCTATTCGATCATCCCTTAGTTCCTTGTCCTTTTCTATAAAGTTTTTTCATAATTTTCTACTGGTTAAACATTGTAGATCTTTCGTGTATACAATTTTTTTGTTGATAGTCTTGGCTCTTCTTCGTCGACTCTCCCTACCAGATGGAGATGCCGACTACAACTTCAATTTTACGAGCTCAGAAATTGTCTGTTATCTATTTGACATTACAAATCTTGAATCAATGGCTGCTTTTCCAAGTATCTATGCAACATAGCAATCTATGTATGACCTGATGACCTAAACATTTGTATTATTGTATTGAAATTTTAAAGTGTTGTATCAAGAGGCGTGATGATCGAGTCCCCACAGGATTCTACTTCATCATTGGTTATTGCTCGCTAAGAAGTCACGTGAGAACGCGCGCTATCCGCAAGAAAACACAGCCCTCGCACATTCAGCTGAGTTGTTGCTCCAACCCAATTAGGGTACAGCTAATTTGAATACAGGTAAACTGCTAACTATAAATACTGATGCTCTTGCATTGCTTGGTCATGCTACCCATCAATTGTCTATGCATCGGAGACAAGCTATAAAACCTTGTTTAAATAAGGAATTAGGATGTATTTGCTCATCACAGGGACCAGTCACTGAGTTTCTATTTGGGAAGAGTTCCATGCTCAAATTAACAACATCAAAGCATCCAATAAGATTGGAAAAGCAATGGCCTTATCACGGTCTTGAGGACAGCCTATTAAAAGCAAAGAGTGTTGGAAACATCCATCCAAAATGACCAAAGTTCTTTTTCGGGGGAAGACCCTTGAGATAACAACTTCAGAATACAGCCTCTTTGCCATTGTTTGAATAACAAACGTAAAACGTTACAAGATAGAACTTTTAAAAGCTATGTGCTGCATGTGTACGTCATGGACGCTTATCTGTAATTAAATGTAATATGACGTAAATCATTCATGCATAATGTGCAACGACATAGAAAGAGTGAGCACTGATAAAGATCGACTCATATTTTGCAGTAATTATTTACCAATAGCTAAGATATAAATAATCAATTCTAAGACAGCAGAATACTGCAGTGCTGCATTGCATTTCTTGGTTTTAAAATAAATGAAAAGTTAAAATAAAAAGAGTTGAAGACCTGTGAACCAAAGAGGAGTGGATTGCTTGACGGAAGCAACGCAAAAGATGATGTTTGTTTCACAAGGTACATTTTATTTTTAGCGCTATGGAATTTAGACAAACAAATTTTTAATATTCAAACACGTTGCAAATTCGTGAAAAAGAATTTGGCGATTTGTTTTAAATAGCCAGATCTTTGACTCGAAGCTCCAATTTCGTAGCTTATTAGGTATCCTCTAAAATTACGATGAAAAAAAATAGTTCAAGAAATCAATTGTGACAATATTAACTATTGTATTTGCGTATAATAAAACAAAAGTCAAAAATCATAGTTGCCACTGTATCGTAACATCAGGGAATCGATTTTGCCCCAAAATGTGTGCCGTATTTTGGACTATAGATTATATTCACTGATTATATTACGATGCCACCTTTAGTATTATTTATAATCTCTATGATCGACAACACCACTGGTCAAACTCATACACAGTTGTAAGTTTGAAGATTCTGAACAAATACTAAAGCAATAAATTTTCTTTTGTCTCTGTCATTAGTAAAATACTAAAACCATTTATTTCTCCAGTAATTTATTATAATAATCAAAGGTTATATGAACATTGTAAGTTTACATATTCAATTTTAAGTAGTGTTTAGCTTTAATATAAACAAATTTTACTGAGTTATAATGTTCTGATTATTTAGAGAATAATTCTGTGCTTATAAATACTTTTGTCCAAAGGGTAAAATTTCAGCAATGGCTCCATATCGTGGTTCATTCGTTGAAGGAAGATATGTCCATGAAGAACTACTTCCCATTTTAAAACACTCCACAGATTTAAGATGTTCACGTTTATTATTCTCACCTCCCATGACAA